AGCCTCAAAGCTTCCAAGTAAAATATGGCTTCCAAGGCTGACACACACACTCATGACTCTTTCTCTCCTCCGCTCCCATGAAAACAAATACACAAAGGGTTACGTTTGAGTTTTCTGAGTTCAAAATATGACTCCTGTACTATAAATTATCATTCCCATGTCAATTTGTAAAACATTCCTATGCCTGTTTTTGAGTTGCCATAAACAAGGGGGGAGGAAATCTGAAGAAGCAGTACGACAGCTTAAAACCAGAAGCACATTCCACCTTTATCTTACAAAGATTGTCGCTAGGCTATTAGATCTTCTGCCTGCAAAAATCCTTCATTGGAGAACGTGATTGATGATACACCCAGGGGGAAGGGGGAAACAGGGTCACAGGTGACTGTAAATTACATATACCAGAGTTGGCTTTATTTAGGTTAATAATGCTGACATGTTGCTCTTAATAAATCTTTTGATTTTTTTTGAAGCTTGGCTTGAAGCTCATTATTTGATTAGGGCAAACGCTGGAACCCTGACAGCCCACTATATACATTTATAGAAGATGTTACGCTTATCCTTTGCAGATGCAGACCACTGCACCAAATGTCCAGAAGATCAATGTCAGAACAAGAACCGAGACCAATGTATCCCCAAAATCATCACCTTCTTGTCGTATCAGGAGAATTTGGGGGTCATCCTTACCTCCTTTGCCCTCTTCCTAATCTTAACCTGCAGTTTTGTTTTGGGAATCTTCAGTAAATACCGAGAAACTCCCATCGTCAAGGCCAACAACCAGGATCTCTCCTATGTTCTCCTGGTCTCCCTGCTGCTTTCTTTCTGCACTTCCTTGCTTTTCATTGGTCGGCCAAGGAGAGCCACTTGCCTTCTTCGACAAACAGTCTTCAGCATCATCTTCTCAGTTGCAGTCTCTTCTGTCTTGGCCAAAACAATCATGGTGGTGCTGGCCTTCCTGGCGACAAAGCCAGGGAACAGAGTGAGGAGATGGTTGGGGAAAAGTTTGGCCAATTCCATCGTCCTTTCCTGTTCTAGCATCCAGGTCATCCTTTGTTCCATCTGGTTAGCAGTCTTGCCCCCATTCCCTGGTTCTGACATGCATTCACAGTCTGGGGAGATCATTCTGCAGTGCAATGAAGGCTCCACTGCTATGTTTTACATTGCTCTCACCTACATGGGCTTCCTGGCCACCATCTGTTTCATAGTGGCTTTCCTAGCCAGGAACCTCCCAGGGGCCTTCAATGAAGCCAAGTTGATCACTTTCAGCATGCTGGTATTCTGCAGCGTCTGGATATCCTTTGTACCCACCTACCTGAGCACCAAGGGAAAGTATATGGTGGTCGTGCAGGTCTTCTCCATCTTGGCTTCCAGCGCTGGTCTGCTGGGATGTATCTTCATCCCCAAGTGCTACATTATTTTACTAAGACCAGATCTGAATACAAAAGAGCAGCTAATATTGAAAAATGAAATGGGAAACTGAATCTGAAACTGAATCTGAATTATATATAGAGGAATCCCTTACCCAAAAGCTGAACAATTACTATAGTATGACTTTATAAGTGTCCAATCACACTTGGCCAATAAAGAATTATAGTTCTATCTATTCTAATCATTTCTTAGCAGCAAGAACTACTAGAGGGCTCCCTCTCCCAACACCAGAAATCTCAGCAACCTCGTAGCTTCAGAGCCTGGAAATTTTGCTAGAGCTCATTGCAAAAGGGAAATATTGTGGGTTGTCCCCTGGTGTTTGGGGAGGGAGGCAGGAGCAGGAAATCAGAGTCTGCATCCAGAGTTTGGCCTATCTGGGAGGAAGCTCTCATTCCCCTTCACTTTGGGGTCCTAGAAATCAGAGGCCACCGGCGGGAGAATCCTGAAAGAAAGGAGACCTGGTTGTGAGAGGAACCTCAAGCTCTTCTTCCAATGTGAGCAACAGCTGACCAAGAAAACAAACAAACAATATAGGGACTTCTGGCTCAGAAGAAGCACTGGTAAACAGGAGTAGAGACATCAGAAATCTGTTGTGCAGCTGTTATAGTGGTGGGATTCAAAAAAAAATTACTACCAGTTCTGTGGGCATGACTTGGTGGGCATGGCAGGGGAAGGATACTGCAAAATACCCATTCCTTTCACCAACTCACTAACCTGCTTTCCAGTTCCATTCTCCTGTGCAGGGCAACAAAAGAAGACCCAGCCAATCAGCTGGGACTTGGGAGGCAGAGAATAGATGGGGGTGGGGCCAGTCAGAGGCGGGGTTTGCCGGTTCTCCAAACTATTCAAAATTTCCACTACCGGTTCTCCAGAACTGGTCAGAACTTGCTGAATACCACCACTGAACTGTTACCTCAATGTGTGTTTGTGTTGTGCTTAGCTGGCAGCAGGTGCGGACAGCTGAGGAGTGCGAGGATCAGATGAGGGGCTAGGACCATTAGGGAGTAGACTGCTGCCTTCAGGGATTGTGGGAGCTGGCAGCAGTGATGAGAAGGTTCCTGAGGAGCCTGTGCCAAGTGTGCATGCACGCAGGATTGCTTGCAAGAAAGAGCAGCTGCAACAGCATGGGCGACTCGAGAGTAAGGCTGCAAGGTAATGGCCCTTCCTTCAAGAAGATAAAAGCCAGCTGTGAAGTGAATGTTCTTTGCAGGAAGCAAAGACGTTTTGAAACTCAGCCTTGTGGACATTACAGTATCTTAAGTTGGACTCTTGTGTTGTGAAATATTTCTTATTTGTGATTCTTGGCAGTCTCGTACAGTTTTGGCAAGGTTCGGGCTTATCAAAGTTAATTAGTTTTCAGCAGCCTTTTAACCGGGGATTCGTAAGACTCATTAAAAGGTTTCTGTTCCCTTTGGTTTTTGTTTGTCTTATTGGAAAAGGGTTTGGGTCAGAACAGTTTGATGGTGCAGAAACTGGCTGAAGCAGGCAACCTGAAGCATGGCTGGCTGGGGAAATCTGGGAGTTGAAGTCCATCCAACTTCCAAGTTGGCCAGGTTGAGAAATACTAGATTGCTAGCTCAGTTTTAAATCCCGACCAGTTCCCAATTGCATGCCAAGACTGGTAATTCAAGTGTCCAAATTGCCTGTCAGCCCATGAGTAGACCAGACCAGGAAATCAACTCCGCAGGAAAGCTAAAACTACTTTTATTAAGTCTCTTGAAAACCTGATTCTCCTCCACTATTTCCTGACAATGAGATCAATTATCCATGTTAAGCCTGAATTCCCCAACGAGTGTTAAGGAAAACAAACTAAACAGAATGTGTAGCGTAGTCAGATAGGAAGACAGGTAAATGTGTGAGATAAGTTTGTATTTTAGTTAACACGCAGTAAAAAAAACAGATACGCTTGTGCTATCAAAAATATAGTTTATTCCATTGGGAATTATAGCATAGTCAAAATAAACGGTCCATTAGTCATGTATCATTTTAGTCAGTCCAGTCGAGGATACTCAATTTGCAAAGTTCGTGTTGAATAGCCAATGTCAGTTCACTTACAATAAATCAGTCCGTATTATCTCTTCTCTCCATTGAGAATAAAACATTCCTTTCTCTCCTCCGTTCCAGTAAGGAAAAACGCAGTCATCAATCCATCCAGTAATTAGGGATCATTAAGCCAGAGAGAGAGCTGCAATTGACTTGCTTCTTTTATGGTGCTTTTACAACCACACCCTTAATTACATTCTTGTAGTTAAAGTTACACACACTTTAACCAACAAACCATGATAACTTATTTATTATTTTTACCCAAACCAGTTAGGGTAAACAATGTTATCCCTAACAATCCAGTGGAACAACTTGCCTCCAGAAATTATGCATCACTGGAGGCTTTTAAAATTTAAGAGACTGGACAGTCATCTGTCTGAAATGGTATAGACTAGTGGTGGCTAAACTTTTTGGGCTCCTGTGCCAAAAATTGTGCGCGCACTTGCACGCTCGCATTTGCGAGCCAGCACCTAGGAGGCAATGCGCGCAGCCCCATGCCCCCTACGCATGCGTGCGCAATCCCCACCCCGCTGCCCCCTTACCTGCACTGCACCTCACAGCTAATTTTCGGCTGGTTTGAGGCCTTTTTCGGCCTCCCAGAGGCTTCAGGAAAGCTTCTGCAGTCTTTTCAGGCCAAAAACTAGGGCCGTTTCATCACTTCCGGTATCTCCGGAAAAACAGGAAGTGACAAAATGGGCCTAGTTAAAAAGCCTGCAGAAGCCTGCAAAAGCCTTCCTCAAGCCTCTGGGAGACCAAAAAAGGCCTCAAACCAGCTGAAAATCAGCTGTGAGGTGCGGGCATGCGCAGTGAGGTAAGTTTGCCTGCAGCTCGTGTGCCAGCACAAATGGCTCTGTGTGCCACCTGTGGCACACGTGTCATAGGTTTGCCATCACGGGTATAGACTCTCCTGTTCAAACAGGGGGTTGGACTAGAAGACCTCCAAGGTCCCTTCCAACTCTGTTATTCTGTGTTTCAAATGCAGCAAAAGCTATGTTAAGTATTTGAAGTGTTGATGGGGCATGTCTGAGAGGAATACAAATTAGAGATTGCTCCAGTGCAACGTTTCAGCAGAATCTCATCTGCCATCATCAGGCTTCCTCAGAATCATCAGAAGCCTGATGATGGCAGATGAGATTCTGCTGAAACGTTGCTACAACTTTAAAAGCACCACTACTATGACGTGGGAAAATACCTGAACAAAGCTGAAGACCATACATGTAAGTACCCGCGAAAACTTAAGAAAACATATATATATATACATATACATATACATATACATATACATATACATATACATCATATACATATACATATACATATACATATACATATACATATACATATACATATACATATACATACATACATACATACATACATACATACATACATACATACATACATATATATATATATATATATATATATATATATATATATATATATATATATGCAAAATACCACTCGCGCATCATCACAAAATCTCCAGAACTGTAAAGCCTACAAACTTGAAATTTGGCTTCTAGGCACGCACTGAGAAAGGATTTTTCAAAATGACCATCAGAGCATTAATATTTCATATATTATTATTATTAACACTCTCTGATGCTAAGCAGTTCTATTCCTCCCCACCTGAAAAGAAATCTCTTTCAAATGCAAAACACAAGCAGAGGAGTTTCAGTTTCACTTTTAGGTTTTAGCTTTAGTACAGAACAGAACAGTTGAGCTAAGCCACGCCCAGGCACCTTGCTGTCTCCTTCTTGCTCATACAGCAAATACTGTTTCACTTTCCAAACAGCCCACAACTCTCTCACACACTGACAGGACGCTAGCCAGATGAATTTTGACAGATGCTGGTAGGCAGAGGCAGAATTTTTTTCCTTATTTTCCTCCCAAAAAGTAAGCCCGATCACATAGTTTTGTAGCGAAGCACAGGTATCGATCTAGTATTTAAATATTTAAAAGGTCTGAGTTGAGAAATATTTCATACATTTTTAAGAGTGTATTGAAGTTTAAAGGAAAAACTACACTACACAGTCCAAAAGAATTTCTCCTAGTTAAACAGCTCCAAGACTAATAGAGGATACTTCAGAGCAGGAGGTGGGATTCAAATTTTTTAACAACCAGTTCTGTGGACGTGGCTTAGTTGGTGAGCGTGGCTTGGTGGTCATGTGACTGGGTGGACGTGGCTTGGTGGTCATGTTATTGGCTGGGCATGGCCGACTCAATATTACTCACATTGAGGCACGCATCTCCTAGCCTGGCCTCTCAGGACTGTGGGGATGCTGCAACAATTGTAAGTGTGAAAAATGGTCATAAGTCACCTTTTTCAATGCCATTGTAACCTTGAATGGTCACTCCACATAAGCAAAGTACCAGCAAAAGAGGGGGGGGAAAACTCCAGAGATATTCCTAAGACAGGAAGTCTAGTCCTGCCAAGAATGTAATAAGGGTTAATGGAGAGGCAGTTTCTGTAAGCAACACCAGAATGTTTCCTTCCTGCCTTCCTTACAGGATTAGGCCAGTAATTTCTTCTAACAACCAGTTCTCCAAACTGCTTAGAATGTTAACAACCGGTTCTAGCAAATAGGTGTGAACTGGTAGAATCCCACCCCTGCTTCAGAGATAGGGTTCCTGGCATATTCCCCATTTCCTCCTCAAGAATTGCACTTCCGGGGTGGTTGAAAGAAGGGAAGAGATGCTTCTGAACTCAAAGGCACTTTGGGATTTTGTTACCTTCCCTCCTCCAGCCTTGTTACCAGATGGGCCTGTGCCTCAAACTGAAGATATTGAGATGGAGATTGTAAGGAATAAAATTATTCTGCAGAAAAAGTGGCACCCAAAGATACCACTCAAACCCTGTTTATCCCACCAATGTCCACCACTGGGTTTCATAGAGCATTTCCCACAGTTTACAAGTCAGAATCGGAAAGTATTTACAGTAATTCCTGCCTGTTTTACACTGTAGAAAGTTAGCACCAGTGGTGGGATTTAAATTTTACTACTGGT